GTTTGGCCTCCAGTACAAGCAAAGTTCTTTTCATGGTCAAGGACAGCTTTCAGAAACTTTGAGGAAGATGGATACTGACCGTAATGGAGGTGAACTGCAAAAATGGAACTTATAAATGAGTAATTAACTGTAATTAAACTGAGTAATCAGCTTGGAGCATAATGGGGATTTTTGTCCTTATTCTTATGGTAGTCTTTTTGCATTGGGAGTTGGATTAAAGAGCCAGAACTTGTGTTATGAGAAATAGCTTTAGATAACCAGGGTTGACCAGGACTACTATAATCAAACTATTGGCAATGTCCAGTGCTAAGTTCAAAGTGGGTAGGTGGACCAGGCAGCCTGAACTTAATTTTTCTCTTCTGTTGTCCAGGTGCATCTAGCATTGAAGATGAATGAAATGCTTATACAACATTCCCTCTGCAAAATTGAAAGTTATTTCTTCCGTAATGCTATTTCTATGGTTCTTTCATTGAAAATTGTCCCTTGTCAGTTCATTCACTCACAAAGGTGACTGTTCTGGGCGGCAGTTCGATTTTCCTTGCTGATATACAAAGGATGGGTATAAATTTTTACACCTATCCAGATCTGTGATTTATTTTCATTGGAAGCAGAGTTGCTGTGTGAAAAGGATCTGGCAGTGTGGAGCCATAGATTTTAACGAGGGTTAGAGTGTGTGTGAAGGCTATTATGAGAGTCTTTTCTGAGAATGGTGGAATAGTAATACTGATGATTGCATTTCTCACTTTATGAAGTAGATATATATTCCTAAAGTTTGTATAAATTAAATCATTTTATTGGAGCTGTTTAATGGAACACCATACTGAACCTTTTTTTTTTTTTTAAAAACAGAAAGGATACTTTAGTTGCAAATAATACTTTTCTTGTTTATCAACTTTGCAAGTTTGAATTTTCATCTCGGTCCAAATTTACACAGATCTATAATCTCATGGAAATGGGTCCTCCCATCAGTGGTGTAGATTACAACCCACCCATGCTTTTTCATCTGGTATAATTCCAGTGCATGTCTGACTATAATTATACTATAAGGGGTCCACCCAGTATGCTGGGGACTTTCTTAATATGACTTGGATAACAGGACAACATGTAGGCTGTCTTTGTCGCTTGCTCTTTCTAGATGACAGACTCCCCTCTTTTTCTAGTCATATATCTCTTTGATATCTTTTATGCTTTTGTGTGCAGTTTCTTGGTAATATGCTGCAGTCATTTTCACTGTGCATTGCTCATTTGCCCTTTCACTGAATCTTGAGTTTGATTCCTTGAAGGCTGTGGCACTCAATTTGTACCCATAAAGCATCACCAGAAGAATATCAATTAAAAAGGCAAATTTTTGTTTCACTGAGAAGCTCAGAGTGATTGAAAATTCTATGTGTGATTTTTTTTCAGTGCAATTTGGTCTGCTTTATCTTATTATGTAATTTTGGGCTCATTTATCTATCTAAGGTGTATGAACATGTTACTAGGTTTATAGATTGTCCATTCAGTTCTGTATCAGATGTTGACATATAAGCAAAAATTATTATCATGGTAGTTTTGCTTATACTCATGAGATTGCAAAATGAGATGACCCCATGTCTCATCAAATATTTTTTCTTGGTTTAGGGTACTCAAATCAACTCTACCAACTCTCTTATTTGCCTTTTCCAAGCGAACTGATGGGGTATGAGCCCAAGCTGAGACCTTTGCCCCTCACCTCAAAAAGAATTTGGGTCCCATTTTTCTATGGATCCCAGAAAACTTTAACTTTCCTTGAATCCACTTATTTGGTTAAGGAAGTCTCAAACTGTTGCCTGAGGCTGTAAAAGGCCACTCAACTGGCCTTTTCATGCCTGGACCCAATCTCCCAATTCTTTGTTACCCTAATTAAACCTGGCCTTCCATTGTCTATTTTCAGATGGCCCATTCAACCTCCCAGACACTCCCGTGGAGATTCTCCCAGGACCCTCCCCCAGTCACCCCATCTTCAAGATCCTCCCTAAACTCTTCCCCCAGCCACACCAGCTTACTGGCCACTCCCATCAAGATACCCCTTCTTCATGTAGAAAATTGGGAAAGAATTTTTACAACCAGTCTCTCTGATAAGGGCCTCATTTCTAAAATATATAGAAAATTAAGTCAAATCTATAAGAATACAAGTCATTCCCCAATTGATAAATGGTCAAAGGAGATGAACAGGCAGTTCTCAGATGAAGAAATTAAAGCCATCTATAGTCATATGAAAAAATGCTCAAAATCACTATTGATTAGAGAAATGCAAATCAAAACAACTCTGAGGTACCACATCACACCTATCAGATTGGCCAACATGACAAAACAGGAAAATGATAAATGTTGGAGAAGATGTGGGAAAATTGGAACATTAATGCATTGTTGGTGGAGTTGTGAGATGATCCAACCATTTTGGAGAGCAGTTTGGAACTATGCCCAAAGAGCTGTAAAAATGTGCATACCCTTTGACCCAGCAATAGCACTTCTAGGGCTGTCTTCCAGAGAGATCGTACAAATGGGAAAAGGACCCACATGTACAAAAATATTTATAGCAGCTCTTTTTGTGGTGGCAAAGAATTGGAAATTGAGAGGATGCCCATCAATTGGGGAATGACTGAACAAGTTGTGGTATATGAATGAATGAATGAATGAATGAATGAATGAATGAATGAATACTATTGTACCATAAGAAATGATGAACTGACCTCAGAAAAACCTGGAAAGACTTGTATGCTGAGTGAAGTGAGCAGAACCAGGAGAACTTTGTACACAGTAACAGCCATGTTGTGTGATAACTTATATTGATAGAGTTAACCCTTCTCAGAAATACAAGGATCTAAGACATCTCCAAAGGCCTTGTGATGAAAAATGCTATCCACAGAAATGCTATCCAAAGAAAGAACTATGGGAGTTGAATTGCTATTTTTTTTTCCTCTTCTGTTGAGTTTTGTTTCCTCTTTCTGGTGGTTCCTCCTATTGGTTCTAATTTTTACTTACAACATCACCAATGTGAAAATATGTTTAATAGAAATGTATATGTATAGCCTGTATCAGATTGTGCACCATCTTGGGGAGGGTGGTAGGGAGGAAAGGGAAGAAAAATTTAAAACTCAAAAGCATATGGAAGTGAGTGTTGATAAATCAAAATAAATTAATAAAAAATTTAAAAAAGACACCCCTTCTTCCAGCCCCTCCTCTGGTCACCCCAAACTACTTGGCCACTCCTAAATCCCTCCCAAAGTCTTTCTGTATATAAGATCCATCCTGGATGCTATTTAGGGGCTGAGACTTCCTTATGCCCTCTTCTCCTTCGGATCATCACAAATATTCAGATTCCTTAAGAGTCTAGCCTATATGTCTCATCTTTAATAAACCTTGTCTTTGGTTGAAAGAATACTTGGGTCGAGTTCTTTCTGGTAGGACCCATGTGTCGTGATTTTGGGGTCCCAGCACCCCAAACCTCTAGATTTCAACAGAACCTATAAATCGTTTTTCCATTTACCTGCATCTTCTTGTATCTTTTGGTTACATGTATAGTGAGAGTATCAATATTGATATAATTCAGTTCATCTAGTAATGTGTTCACTCAGAGAGAAGGATTTTACATTTAGAGCATGAGTATTTATTTAATGGTTTTAGACATTCCAAAAACTGTGATTCTTAGAATTCTGTCCCTTTTCCCCCTCTGCTTTAATTACTGTGGTTTGCACAAGACTGAGAGTGATTCTGAAATTTATCACTTTGTGGCCAGCATGTTGGTGATGAATCTTTATTTATTTAGCTAGGCTTGTCCTTGGACAATAGGGCCAGTCTTTGCCGAAAGTGACTCAAGGCCTTTTCCATTATCACACAACTCTTGTAGAGATCTTTTGATTCACTGGCATAACTTTCAAGAATCCGTGGTCACTTCCATGATAAGATTTTATTTTGTGGCGGATCAGTCAGCAAATTGTTACTGAGTACTTAGAGTTTGTTGAGCTCTCTGCTGGGCAGAGATGCTGTGCCAGACGATATTGAGGGGCACTAAAGAAGTGTGAAAGACAACATGGTGTATTGAAAATAGCAGAAGACTGGGAGTCAGGCCTGGAGTTCCCTTTGGCTATCCTCATGTCACTGTAAAAATAAATATTTATACGTTGGATTTTTTTTTCCTTTTCAAATGAACTAAAACCTGGCTTCCCCCCTGGTGATAATGTACAACTCCAATCATTATCTTTCCATTTCCTACTTCACGTGGCCAAGAGGAAAAGACAACATATTTTTTGCTTTCTGTTTCTAGACTATTTTTCTATCACCATCCTTCAAAGAAACTTCTTTGCAGTTCTTCAGAGTGACTATTCCACCAGTTGCTTTCCATTCTTGTAGTCATTTATTGACTTCTAGGATATCCTTTGTAGCACCTGGCTCAAAGTCTTCATTTCTACCTTGTCCTCTGCTGTTCAGTGACTTTAAAATTCTTCTTCTTGATTATTCCAACACTCTTACCTCGTGGTTTCTCAGTCACTATAAATCTTTGACTGTATCCTACTTGAGCTACATCTTAAAAATCACTATCCTTTGAAATCACCTCTTCCAACACCTTGAATTCTGAACTTTCCTTCTTTGTTCATAATCTCCTGTCTTTCCAACTTTCTAATTCTTATTGAGCCTACTCCTCGGTCTTATCTTAGACCTGTTGTTCCTTGCCCCCTTCTAGTTCACCATTTCTGTTCTTTCATTATTTGTATCCTTTGCCCCAACAGTTATTTTAATGATGTACTTGCATTGTTTATTTTCATTTTATAGGTTCACAAATCTTTCTCCAGGAGTTCAAACAAGTGCTATGGAATTTGAATTTTGGTAATGAGCCAATATATTTGAATTGAATTGAATTCCACATAGTTTGACTTTTTGGAAATGTGAGTTTTGCTTTAGGGAGAAAAAAGCAACTTGTTGAATTAGAAGTGTTTCTTTGGCTTTCTTAATTGGAATTGCATTGTTTGTTTTGTCTGCAGGTGACTCCTTCTCACAGTTTCGTTTTGCAGAAGAAAAAGAATGGGATACTGAAGCTTCATCTCCTAAACAAGTAGGTTGGATTTTTCTCTTCATGCAATGTTAATGTACCCAAGGGTACTTACTTGCTTAACCTGATTCTTCATGTGGAAATAATTACTAATATTAATTTAATGCCTTAAGGTATACAAATCACTTTCTTCACAACCACAGGTAATACAAGTATTGTATCAGTTATATAGATGAGAAAACAGGCTCAGATTGGTTGTGACTTGCCCAGGGCTTGAATTCAAACCCAGGTCTCCCAATTCTATTTCCAGTATTCTTTTTTACTGTATCTTGCTGCCCAAGTAGTGGAAAAGTACAGATTACTTCATTAATCCTACTACTTCAGACAAAAGTATACCTTTTAGAAGTACTTGAATTATTTGGACCACTAAACCAAAAGACCTCCATTATTCGCATAATTTGAAAGGGTAGATCTGATCTCAAAGAAGTTTGGGTTGATGCATGTGAGTGGCTCTCCTTCCAAATACATTAATGTCTTTTTCCTGTATGTTTTAAAGCAATGCCGGAATAAAATAATTCAGTAGCTTAAAATGCAGTCCATATCTTCTTTTGCCTATGGTCTATATAGAGACTTATGACATAATGTTAGCACAAAATGCTATTAATGTTCTTCAATGAATGGTTCCAATACCTAATGTGTTATAATAATCCTAATAGTGTTGTGCTTTTTTTCTACACTAAAGTTTTCTTTCACAGAGCTCCGATAATTTGTCAAATAGGGTTTTACCAAACCTCACTATATAGGTTGTTAACAGGTATTCTTCTTTCTTTCAAATGAAGGTATCTCAGTAATGACTACATGGTAAATTATCAGGGGCTACTTATCTCATACTTCTTTCTAGGGCTAGAATATAGTTATCTGATAATTAGTCATAGAATTTTCTAAGAGCATTAGAAGGATTGTACTGGTTCATTTAACAGTCTAAGGTACAGAGGTGAGGGCTCTAAATTCCAGCTCTACCATGCTGCAATGCTGACCTGTCATATAGGCAGGGAAAAATCGATTGTGGAAATGATCACACAGCATTTTGCATAAAGAAAATACCATATATGGTGTAGGGGGGATGATGATGAATTATTTGGCAATGGCAAGCCATGAAACAAAGAAAAATGTCCATCATAAAAATGTCCTTCTGCAGTTACGGAGACAGAGGAACATATTAAAGGGCAGAAACTGCTAAAAATCAGTTTTTAGATCAGTTTTAGAGTTCTCGCTCCCCCCATTTTCTCAATTGGGAGGCTTGCCTCATATTTCATTGAAAAACTTGAGGCCATTCGCTAGGATCTCTCTCTTCGTCCCTTCTCATCCCACATCACTCAGATGCCTTCTGAAATTTTTTTCCTTTGCCCCATTATACATAAGGAGGTAGTCCTTCCCCTTGCCAAGGCAAACCTCTATACATGAAGAGATGAGCCCATTCCATTCCTTCTTCTCCAATAGATTGTTCCTTCTGTCATCCTAATTCTCTTACTGTCTCTTACAGTCTTGCTTCAGTCTCTTCCTTTGTAGTGACTGCTCTGTCCAAAGATACCAATGATCTCTTATTTGCCAAATCTAATGGCTTTTTTCCAGTCCTTTTTCTTTCTCACCATTCTGCAGCCTTTGAAAATGTAGCTGTTCTCCTTGATACTGTCTTTTCTCTAGTTTTCCCCCAGTTCTCTATCCACCTGACTGCTCCTTTTCAGTCTCCTTTGCTGAATCTTCCACTAAATCGTACTATAGGCATATTGCCTAACTCTATCTTGTGCCCTCTTTTCCCCTTCTACATTATTTTTCTTGGCGACTTCATCAGCTTTCATGGATTCAATTATCTCTATGCAGACAATTCTGAGATCTGTTTGTCCAGTCCTAACCTCTCTCTTGACCTCTGAGAGTCTTTCATCTCCCACTGCCGCCTTTTGACAAACTTCCCCTCTTCCTAACTTATTACTGTCAAGGGTACGGCCATCCTTCTAGTCACCCAGGCTTGCCGTCATTCTCAACACCTCACTCTCACCTCCATATCCAACCAGTTGTCAAGTCCCATTATATGCATCCCCTTCTCTCCTTTGACCCTGCCACCACTCTGGTGTAGGCCCTTATCACTTCATGCTTGGTCTATTTCAGTAGCTTTTTGGTTGGTCTCCCCACCTCAGACCTCTCACTACTCCCATCTACCCTCCACTCAGCTGTCAAATTGATCTTCCTAAAGTACAGATGTAAACATACCACTTCCCCTTAAGCCCCACATTGAGTAAACTGCATTAATTCCCTACCTTCAGGACCACATGAAAAAAAATATTCCTTTTCAGTTTTAAAATCCATGTTTGTGTTTTAAAGCCCTTTATAACCTGGCCATTTCCTACCTTTCAAAGTCTTCTTACAACTTACTTCTGTCTACATACTTGGTCACCAAGTGATCCTAGCTTCCTTGCTGTTCCTGCACCATGACATTCTGTCTCTAGACTTTGGGCATTTCACTGGCTGGCCCCTAGATCTGGAATTCTCCCACTCCTCATCTCTGCTTTTGACTTCCCTGGCTTCTCAAGTCTCAGGTAAGGCTTCTATAAGAAGTCTTTTTCCAGTCTTCCCTAATCTTAGTGCCTTCTCTCTGAGATTGCCCCCAACTTTTTCTGTGTATATTTTGTTCATACACATTTGTTTGCATCTTTTCTCCTAATTTAGAGTATGAACTCCATGAGAGCAGAAGGTTTTTTTTTTTTTTTTTTTTTGGTTTTTCTTTGCATTCTCCAGCACTTAGCATAGTGCCTTATACATAGTTGGCACTTAAATGCTTGTTGAACAAGAAGGCTTTAAACTGAAATTTCAGGAAAGGAAGAAAATGCCCAGAGAATAATGGATAGCATTTTATAAAGCACTTTAACTTTGCAAACTGCTTTATACATGGTATATCATTTGATCCTCATAGCAATCTTTGAGGTATGTTGTCTTACAGATGATGAAATGGAGGCTGAGAGAGCTTAATTACTTGTCCAAGGTCATATAGTTGGTAAATGTTTGAGGCAGGATTTTAATTCAGGTCTTTTCACTCCATCACCTACTTACCATTATCTATAAGCAAAAGATACTATGGAAGGTAATAAGCATGGCACAATAAGAAGAATTATAATGGAGAAATTAGCGAGTAATTCTCAGAAAAAATAACAAGAGATGGTTGGGATTTATGCTTTTGATATATCAACATAGGAGTAATGAAGTCAAATTTTGATTTTAATATTAGGAGGTAATTAAGAATTTTTCTAAGCATAATATGTGCTGAGATAAGGACTGAAAGCCCAAAGAAAAAACACAAATAGCCCTTGCTCTCAAGGAGCTTATATTCTAATAAATGTTGTTGGTATCTCTGAGACTTGGGTAGTCTAAGACACATGAGTATATTGTCAAAGAAGGGTATAACCTTATTCAAAAGGAACAGATCTCATAGGCAGTTGGGAAGGTAGCATTGTTTCAAAGCATATACTGTTATGGAAATCTGTGAATCTGTAAAGCATGGTGGAAAGAGTTCAAGTGAGCATAAAAGAAAGAGAAACAGGAGTGATAGTATTATAGAAATATGTTCTGTAGATCAAGGATTCCTTTTTTTTTTTCTTTTCTCTCCCTCCCACCTCTGTCCCATATAGGTGAAAAAAAGGCAAAAGAAAAACAAATTCTTTCTAATAAAAATACTTAGTAAAGCAAAACAAATTCCCTCATTAGCTATATACACACATATGTATATATGTATGTTTTATGTGAGGGTCTCATTCTGCACCTTATAGCTTTCAGTGTTGTTTGTCTTTAAGGTTTTGTTATTATATAATTTATTTTTTCCTGCTCCTCTGCTCATTTCATTATTCATCATTTTATGTCTTCAAAGTTGTTTGTTTATATGATATTGATGTTTGAGGATAAATCATTCTTCTGGTTCTGCTTACTTTACTCTCCATCAGTTTATATAAGTCTTTCTGTCCCTTGGAAATCATCTATTGAAAGATCTAGCAAGAAGTATAATCATTTCCTCCCAAAACCGGGAGGGAATACTGTTCCCCATACTACCTTTTGTTCCTGAAGAGAGCAGGCTCAAACTTAAAAAAGTTTCTACGTAGCACTTGGTTCTACTAAGTTCATGTCCAAATGAGACATTGGTGACAGATGAGCCTCTGTCTCAGCTATTCTTGGCCTAGGTCCTGAATGTCATTCCTCATTCCTCTTGGCCTCAAAGCTAGACTGGCTGGCTGAAAAACCCTGCATGGACTTGATTCTTTGACTTTTTGAAAAAAGTCATAGACTCCAATATCCTTCACCTAAAATGAAAGAACAAATGCTGACACAAAGAACTGAGGTTTGTCTCCATGGGTCACATGTTGGCCTTGGATGGAGAAAGCTTGAGGCCTTTTCCCACAGCAGCATATTTTCTCTTCTCTCACCTGAGCACCATCAGCCAGAGTCAACTAAAGAGGACAAGGTCAACTAGTGCCATCTGAATACACTCTAAGTTCCAGCTGTGCAGCTGCAGTGAATCATAGAAGCTCCTATTCACTATGCGGGAAGCAGACTGGAACCAGTTACAGAATGTCTATATGTGCTTCAAAATCCACATAGGATTTACATCAGTTGATCATTCTGCACACGCTAATAAGAATGAGGCAGTCCCCCATTATATCTTTTATGCCCTCTTGGCTTCGTGCCAGCTCAGGATGAGATCCCGTTGTTGTTCAGTCATTTTAGTTGTGTCCGACTCTTTATGACACCTTTTGGGATTTTCTTGGCAAAGATACTAGAGTGGTTTGCCATTTCTTTCTCTAGCTCATTTTACAGATGAGGAAACTGAGGCAAACAGGGTTAAGTGACTTGCCCAGTGTCACACAGCTAGTAAGTATCTGAGGCAAGATTTGGATTCAGGTCTTCTTGACCCCATGCCTGGGGCTCTATCCACTGTGCACCTAGCTGCCCATTATAGGTGCTTAAGAAATGTTGAATTGCATAGAGTATAAATTCTGCATTCTGAAGAAATTGAGAGTAATTGGAAAGAGTCATAGAAGATCAACAAACATCTAAGTGTAAACTGTATTCTAGGGCCAAGACCAGGGCCTACAAAGCAAAAACCAGAAACCAGTCCATGCTCTCAAGGAATTCACATTCTCCTAGGGAGATAAAACATGTAAGAGAATTTGCAGATGAAGATAGTACTAATAACTGAGGGAACTGGGAAATGCTTTGAGTAGGAACTTGGTTCCTGAGTTGATCTTTGAAGACAACTTTCTCAAAACAGGAAATTAAATAAACACCACAGACCAGAAGTCATAGCATCATATTAAAATATTTTTTGAGGGTTTCAGTACAAAGAGCACAGTCTATTTGGATGATAAAGACTGAGATGTATGTAACCAGATTGCTTTATTTCTTGAATTCTCAGTGCAAAGCTGCATGGGTGGATATAGGAAGTCTTATTCAGTGGACTGTTTGATATATTTGAAGGATATCCAGATTTGCTTATGAGTGTGTGGTATAGATGACCTTTTAAAATTATTTAATTCTCTTAAGTATTCTCTTTTTTCTTTTGCTTTTGTTCCTGTCCTCCTCTCTCTATACCCCAGAGATACAGGGATTTGGGGGGAGGATAAAGAGAAAAGAGAGGTGAAATAGAAAAGAGAGTTGAGCAACTAGGCCCATTAAGATTCTTCAGATGGGGGTTTCCTGACAGGAGGGAGATCTGAGCCAAGAGAGGGGGCACAGTAGAGTCCCTGTGGTGCTTTCCACTTGAAAGAACTGTATTCCATGTGTAATGTGGTACCTTTGGACATGAATGCTTGGGGAGTCAAAGATTCAGGATCTTTCTTGGGATACCCATAAAATATTATTGCATAACTTAAACCAGGAGCTTTCATACATTTCTAGAGGAAAACTTGTCTTAAAGAAGAAAAAATGATTATTTTAAATTTATTCAAATTCTTTACTCTCTTTTTTCATCCACTGAATATCTAAATGCTTGAATAGTATATTCTCAGCACTGTTCTAGGTATTATGTGGGATACAAAGATACATTACAGTTAGTCTTTACCCTTAAAGAGCTTACAGTCTAGGTGGCAATATGATATACATAAAAAAGTTAAATAACAATATGAATTAATGAGTGATATGACAACAGCATAAAAGATCTTCAAGGGTAGTATATGATAAGTGCCAAAGGGACACAACAGTTAGTAACTGATGTGACTTCATAGGAAGGAGAAATCATGGTAGAACACTTCATGGAGGAGGTAGGACTTGAGTTGGGTCATATGGAGGAGTAGGATTCAGATAGGAGTGGGAAGGGTGTTCCAAGTAAGGGAAACTATGTGGACTAGAAACAAGCCTGATAGATACAGTGGGCTTATTCATCACATGTATGTTTTCATTGTAATTTCGACTTTGACCATTCTAACCATTTGTGGAAGATTTTTTATGGAAGGATAGGGTATACAAAGATTCTTTCTCAGTCCCAGCTGTCTGCCATCCAAACCCAGCTAATGCTCAACAAAGTAGTAACTGCTGTCTGTCCCCAACCAGGCCTCAGTACAACTTTATTTATAACAACTGCTTCTGTGTCCTATGGGACTGTGAGGCTTGCATACTGAAAAGTAGTCTGGATAAAAGGGAGCTTCTGATTGACTTGATGAAGTTGTCATCTGGATTGTGATTGAGCCAGTGATGCCAGGAGGTTCCTGTACAGCCAGGGACTTTTGCCAGGACTTCTCCTGCTGCTAGAAACAGACCATCTCTTTTTAATACTTTTTTTCTCCATCATCTTTAATAAAAGGTTTTTTTGCTACCATTTTGTGGTACTCATCATCTTGGTCCTGCCATAATTTGAACCTAGGTCCTCCAAGATGACAATCATGAATTTTTGGGTGTGATAGAAAATAAGGAAGAATACAAAACAAGATCACTCATGAGAGATTAATTTATATAGTTGCTTCCTGTTGCCTGCTTTCCTTTTATTTTCAGAAGGTTATTATTAATCCTCATATTCATTCTGCCATTTTGTGCTACAGATCTCAGCCCTTTATGTGGACTATGAGTCACTGGTCCAAGCCCTTCAAGAACTGCCTCTGTCACTCCGGCTGAATGTGGCTGCTGAGTTAGTCCAGGTAACACTCCTTCAAACATATTTAGGTTTGGGGACAGAAGAACAGGAGAAAGGAGGCCTCATCTTCCCAGTTCTCCTGCCAAGAGTAAATGCCTCATGACAGTTGTTTTGAATCCACTTTGGCCATCTCTGATGCTTGATGTTTCATCAACAAGTTATTGCATGCATCATAATTTATATTATCCAGAGGCTAAGGGTACAAGTGCCTGTGATCCTTCCTGCACTACTCTTTTCTTTCCTTTGTATTTGAAGCTCTGCAAAGAATATCATCTCTGCCACTTCAATGGGGTTTTGGGAATGGGAGAGGACCACAGGGTTAGGAAGAAGTCACAGACTATTTGACCTAAAAAGGCCTAAAAGTTCACTTTAGTCCGAAGAGAAGCAATTACCAGCTGGGAAGGCAGAGCTGATAGTAATTGGGGGTTGGGCAGAAGACAAGATGAGAAGACACATAGGGCTATGCTGCAGCAGATCTGCTTTCATTTACAAGGGACCACATTTGTTATCCATTGAACTACTAGATGGCAAAGATGTTCCCTGAGACATAAAGGAAGTTGTTTGTGTTCTTTGAAAACATAGGCCGTTGCAGTGGGGAAGGTATTAGAATAAATATATAGCTATGAGAACAGAACTTTAGAAATTTGGTAAAAAAAAAAAAAGCTCTTAAAATAAATCTCATGACTTTGAAGGGGCACTTGAATAGTGATCATTATGACTGGTATAGTATCAATGTGGGAACATTTATATATGGAGAATCAAAACAAGGAGAACAGAGGCAGATTATGGCTTCTATGTGGAACACTGGCCAACTCATCTTTGTATTATTCATGAAGTGTCCTGTATTCATCTTTCCAATGACGACTTATGGGTGACATTCAGTTTTTTTAATAACATGAAGATTTATGCATAAAGACATTATTGAGTAAACACAAATGTAATAGATACATTGTACTACCAAAGGTAGCTATGGCTCTTCTTATGGAAATATTGCAGAGTGCAAGCTGCAAACCCTTTCCCTTTTTTTGTAAGTTATTTATAGAACCCCATTCAATCTGATTCAATAACTGAGGTGGGAGGAATGTTTTATGGATGTATGCAGGTTAGTGTAGAAAGCCTTGACTTGAGAGGAATGTTCAGTTCCCATGAAAAAGATTTAGGATTTTTTGTTTTGCTGCAAACCTAATATATGAGCCAGAAATATGAAATGGCAGCTAACAACAACAACAAACAAACAAACAAAAAAACCACCTGGTGCTATCTTAGGCTACATTAATTTAAAGTGTAATGGCCAGGAAAAGGGAAAGAGTAGTCTTATGGAGTATTGTATTTAGTTCTGGGCACCAAGTCTGAGGAATATACTGGAGCTGCCTCAGAGAAGGATGAGTAATGACATAATTTCTTATGACATAATTTCCAGATACTGATTGCATGGGGATACTTAACTTGAGGAAGAGAAGATTTAGGTGGGACGTGATAACTTGTTTTCAAGTATCTGGAGGGGAAGTGGGCATGGGGAGGGGGCATTATTAGGCTTATTCCTGTGGATCCAGAGGGCAGAAGTAGGACCAGTTATAGGAAAAAAGAATCTAGCTCAGTTTAAGAAAGAATTTTCTAATTATCTAAAAGTGCTAACTGTCTGAAAGCTGTCTAAAAGTGCAGTGGGCTGTTTTCTAAGACAGTGAACACTTAGAGTGATGGCTGTCTCACCATGAGTTGGGGAGGAGAACTTTTGTGTTAGGTACAAAGTTTTACTAGATGAGCTTTCAGATCTCATATTTCCTAATAAGATACCATAGGTACTAAATGAATCCTAAGGCATTTTTGCACATGGATTTGCATTTGCATTTGATTTCTCAAACCAGTTTTGACATTTAAATAGTCTCAGCCAATTTAAAAAGGAACTAAACTGTGTAGAAGAGTAGATTATGGGTATTCATAGTACTAGAGAAAACGTGAGACCCCTCAATTGCTTTTTTTACTGTACTATTTAGTCAGGAGAGTGAGGCAGCAGGCAGCCCCTCTTGTTGTGTTCCCACTTACAAAGTGTAGGCTGGTTCTAGATGGTATTACGAATTCTCTCAGTCAACTCAGTTCTGTGCTTGGTTCTTAAGACTACAGCTCCTCTAGAGCTTCCCCAGATGAAACCAAAGAAAATGGAAGATGGCAAGGGGCTGGGTATGCAGATAAGACGGCCCTTGGGGCCAGGCTCTGATGTGATCTCTGATGCTGCCAACTGTCCAGTGCCCATGGGTAAAGATGGACCTAGGCCAGGCTCTTCGGAAGCTTTTCAGAAAATCACTCCACCACTGCAGCAAACTGTCGACCACCTAGATGAAGAACTTGATCTGCTGCTAAATTTAGATGCTCCAGTAAAAGAGGAAGATAACACTCTAACAGCTCAGACATATGAAGATCCCAAAGCCAAAAAAGATGGAAAGATGATCCAAGAGGAAAATGGTATGCCTTTGATTTTGTTTCTTCCTTCCTCTAGTCTCTTCTGATTCCTTTATTTTGGTTTATTAGTGCAAACAGGCAGGCTTGTCCTAATTCCATCTTACATACGTAGTCTTAATGGCATTTGACATTGATCCAGGGTTGTATACCGATATCTGTCTTTGTGCTTATATCTCTGCTTCACTCTCAGCTGACCTTTCTGAGAGCATCCTCCTCACTGTAGAGATAGCCCAAATACTATTGCAGACTTGATCATGATCTTCAACCTAAGGCTTTAAATTAAACCCCTCATGCTTTAAAGTATAGTAGGATACATATAGCCTAAGCCTATCCCTTTTGTATCTAGTCTTTTTCACCATCATGCCTTTGAGATATATACCTGAACAGACCCATTATCCACATTTCTCCATTAGAACATGCTACCAGTATCTTCTGGTAACTGTTCCCCTCCCCCCGTGCCACCCCCTCCCCGGCCTTTGCCATGGGCTTTTTGTGGACTTATACTTTTTATTTTGTGCATATAGCAGGTAAGAAAATAATTTGTTTCGGCTACAATGGAAATAAATGGGACAGACTCCTGGGGCAGTTTCCTCTTTTTCCTATTGAAAATATTAACTTCCAGGGTTGCTGCAAGGGAAAGGAATGATCATCTGCCTGTTGATTCAATAATATGAGGAATTTGTGAACCTCAGTTCCAGAATTAAATAACTTGCTAATTTAGTCCTCATTTGCTTAGGTATTCTATTTGGGGAGGGCAGGAATAATCTGTATCAGTAAAAAATCAAATGTATTTATATATGTGGCATGAAAGGTACCAGAGAGGGCCAGCTCATATCATGGAACAAACTACTGGGAAACCTTACCCACCTCAGATAGATAGAGATTAGTGAAATGTTATGTTGTTTTTATTTCTCCAGTTCCTGAAAAACTCTCTGCGACTGAAGAAAAGAGTTTGGAATCTGAGCAACCACCATGTACGTCCAAAAATGTTACTGAGGAAGAGCTTGAAGATTGGCTGGACAGCATGATTTCTTAAAGTAAAAAATGTGTGCAGGGCTGGAGCTATCCTGTTATTTATGGATGGATTAAAGGGAGAGACATGAATGAGGCAATCCTTCAGGAAGAGCTATTTATAGCACACCCCCAAATCAGCATTTCAGCATGGTTATGGTAGTATGCCTCCCTCTATATTTCAGACAACAATTGGCATAATAAATTACAGAGGTTCATTCCAATCATTCTTTCTGGCATAGTATTCTAATAACCCAACTTTCTTAAGCAAGTGGAATGCTGTCCCCCATCCCATGGGCTTCCCATTTGCTAAGAGTAAAATCCAGGTTCCATCTAGTCCCCAGTGTTTATTTGCAGCAAATTAGCTGCTGCTGAATAACAGGATGTGACAAGAACAAGGTATGATTGGTACCTGTATGCATTTGGGAAAAATAAATTATAAATGCTGGTAAAACTATTTTTTCCCTCAGTTTGGGTGTTGGATCTTTTCTGTCTCATGTCATTTCTCTCAGTTATCATGTTATGGCCACAGGCAGAGTATGTGGTAAATTAGATGAGGCCATACTGGGTTTGGTTTGTAACGTTTTATTGCAGGGGGCACTTCGTTTTTATTTCAGGAGAAACGCCTAAATGTAGCAGATTCACTACTTACAAAGGACCACGAAGCATTACTTAATTTTGGCATAAGATTTGGATTTCCAGTTTCTGATACAGTACATTTCTTCTAATAACAGCTACTGGCTAGCTGCTATTGACAGAATCATGTAGAATGGATAACCTTCAAGTGCAGTTTCATACATTAAAATAGAAGAGCAGCACAACTAATTAATGAAACTTTCCATCTAAAACCTAACATAAAAAACTTGCATAGCTATGTCTACGGAAGTTTTAAGGCACTTAATCGATATTTCAGTGTCGATAAAGTGTTGAGTTTTCTCTATTTCTTTAACTGCTTAAAGCTTTTCAGGCTGTATCTGGATACATTCACTAGCAAGTACCATGGGGAAAATTGACTGTAGTTAAAACATTTTTTAAGTTCAGACCATGAGTAACAAATGGAGACATCATCACTTGATATTCAAGTTCTTTTAAAGTTTCAGATATTGTGCATTTAAGACAAAATCTTCTTTAGCCCTTTTGACTGTTTCCAAACTGATAAAGAATGATGGGATTCAAAACCATGCCAGTAACCTAACTCTGTTTACAATTGGAAAGTAATTAAAGTTTTTTGACACAGTTTCTTCTCTCCTTCAAATATAGATTTTGTAAGTCTCACAGCATAGGTCTGTTAGGCTCAAAAAGCCTAATCAATTTCCAAAGTCAGAGATTTATGACAAGTTCTTGATAAAGAGGTGTTTCTCAAACATGATTGCTGAAGTACTATACATGGACATGGTACAGAATTCCTTCTGTAGAGAGTTGACTGGTTATGTAGTACCTCCTTTTATCTCATCATACTTATCCGAGCTGATCTTCATATTGTTTCCGAAAACAGTCACCAGCTGGAAAGAAATCCCAACATCTTTCTTGATACATCTTCCAGACATAAGATTCCTGAAATAATTTGAACAAAGGATACCTGTTTTACAAAATTCTTGTTCCACATATGTGCATTCCATTACCCTCATTTTTCTCTCATCTGTATTTTCTCTTTTCACTGTGGGTTAGACTTGGACATTATAGAACTTTGCTGGAACTGACATTCATAATGGGCAAATGGGGTCTTTCCACCTGTAACTCAGTCCTCATCAGTTCATTTTCATGGCACAAATAGAGGTGCTAAGCTACACTGACCCCTCTTAAACCCTATCCCCATCACATGTCCACGTTGATGACTCCCATGACCTTAATTCTTCTCAGATGCCTCTACCCCACATGCCTGTACATAGGTAAGAAAAAAGCAAAAAGGTTCAAGAATGTGAAGTCAGGTTTTACTTTTTGTGCCTACACTCACCATTAAGAATTATTCCTATTCCTTCTACAATCTAAAGTATCCTAGCTCTCCTACAAAAGGCAGTGCGGTTAGATGTTATGTGATGGCACCCCGGACTGATGGGAGGGTATAACATTGAAACCTGTCAAGAAACCACTTTATCTTATGCTGGGGTTTTAGCCCTTAAGTGTGGAGAACAACCTAGTTCTTTGTATATGTGCTAGCTTCCTATGGCTTTTAGACATGGGTTTGTTTTGGTTTCTTCCCTTCACCTTTCTTCTCATGATTCTTCCTTCACACTTAGTCATACATGATTCTGTGAAACATAAAATTCTTTCCCTAGATACATTTTTGCCATACACACGTGCCCAATATCTTTTCCCCCTCTCATGTTCCAATTCTTCATATGTTCTTTTCTTTTCTTAACTGGGACTTCTCTGTGGTTATCGTTGATGTGATACAGGTCTACTATTTCAAGCAAGGCCTAGCCATGTTTCATTCTCCTCCTGGTTATGGCAGGCACCTTGCCTTTGGGCCCACACCACTCTATTTTTTACTTTTGGAACCATAATCAAGTAAGTACTGCCATTAGTACTAGAAAGGGCATGCCAATTTGCTCCCCTATGATTCCACTCACTGAATAGATAGCTTTCTTTTTTTCTTAATTTTAATTATATAAATTTATTATATAAATACATATTTATATTTATTATATAATAATATATATTATAAAATACAATTTTATTTTTTCAGTTTCAATTTTTATCCCATCCCTTCCCCACCCATTGAGAAGTCAAGAAAAACAAAACCCATTACATATATCATGCAAAAGTCATGTAAAAGAAATTTTCACATTAGCCATGGCCAAAGAAAAAGTTGTTTAAAGCTGTACTCTGAGTCCATCAGTCCTCTCTCGGGAAGTGGTCAGCATGTTTCATGATGAGTTCTTTGGAACTGTGGTTATTCATTGTGTTGTTATACTTACAATAAATCACTCTCCAAACCAAAACTCCTCTGTACAGATTGCCTCCCCCATTGGAATGTAACTTCTTGAGTGTACTGTCTTGGCTTTTGTTTTTTGTATCCTAAAGCTTAGCACAATGGCTAACAAATAAGAAGCACTTTTATAAATATTTCCTCATTCATTCAATCCCTAAGTCTATCTCTTATACTCTCATACAGTTTTGCTCTGATTCTTTGTCATGTGATCCCCTTCCTGCTTGCTCTTCTCACTTCCGACCATGGGGGACAATTCTACCCCACTCTAGTTCTGCTACTGCTTCTTAAGGCTTATGCACAGAGTGAGCAGGTGAAGCTATTGAATACTGAAATGAATCTGATGCTTCTTGCCAGAAGAAAGCATGGATGGAGGAAAAGGAACTAGTATAGTGAGGATTAAGAAGTTAAATATGAGTGACACTTCTTATTTTAAGACCTTTACAGGTCTTAGTTTACAGACCCACCCACTTAAAGATAAAAATCAACAGAGATATAGTCACAAAAAGTTCAGTATTCAAAGATGAGCTTAACCAGAGAGATAAATGATATATGAATAACCAACCTTCATTTGTGTTTTAAGGGAACTGGGCAGTCTTTTCCTATTCCCAGGGAAGAAAGAGAATGTATGTGTATGTGTGTGTGTGTGTGTGTGTGTGTGTGTGTGTCTGTACACACTTTCATTAGCCTAAGCAGACAATGTGATTGATATTTAAAAACATAATTTCTCTCACCTGACCTGTGTGTTCTGTTTCATCTTTATTAATCAGATACATCAGAAAGAACCTGAAATAAGGATGAGAAAAGTAGAAAAACAAAGAGAAATAAATAATCAGTTGAAATTCATGTTGCCAAGACATCAAAGTTAGCCTAAAACATTAAGAGAGACAGGCATCAGCAATATGTGTGCTTCAGCATCAACCCAAAGTCGTCTTTACCTTCTCTTTATCCCTCACAACTAGGGTAAGGGACAGCAAGAGGTCACAAGGTCTAAGGACTCAAGAATTTATTTTCAAATGAAAAAAATTATTAAACCTCAAAAATCAAGTACTCGACTTTCTTTTGAGGAATAACTGCTTTCCATTTTCTCAAAAGTTAGAGATAATATGTGAAGTAGAAGATTGAAGCTCAGGATAAGATAAGGAAGGAGAGAGTTTATGACCATATTAACCAAACATCAGGATACTATAAAGACATTTCTTTCACAAAGCCTTGTTTAAAGGAGGACTCGGTTAGATCTGAGGCAAGGTGAGGGCACCAAAACTAAGGAAGGTAGCAGCTTATGCTTGCTCCATATATAGGCTATCTTTTGGCTGTGCACCTATCCCCTCCATCCTAAGGTGCAGCTACAGAGTTAAAACTGAGTATTAGTTTAGTCTAGCTCTCGGGGATCTGCTCTTTTGGGAACTCATTTCCATTTGAAAGCCTTAGAAGAACAATCAGAGATCCCAAACCCCAGGGAGATAAAGGCCTATGCTTTGGGGAACTCGGAGATTGAGAGGTACATATTTATTCCATATGGGAAATGGCTTCTGGTTATGTCTCATTATCCATCATTTTGGAATGAAGCTGGCACTAAGTATGAGTTCAGTTTGGAAGATCTGAACATCAGTTATTTACTGAACCAGATGCTTAGAACAACCTACCACTATCATCTGGTTGTGAGTACCAGGCCTTAGAAGCTGAGGCCACCATCCCTCTATTTGTAGGGTAGGCATAGTCCCAGTTCCTGCTCCCACTTGTCTCTAACTTTGGGGTTCATGTCCACTCACTGCATTCCCAACTCTCTACCATAATCCCACCGCTCCCCAGTACTTATCTTCCTCTGTTTTTTAGTTCCACTGTGCCCCCTAGAACCTCTACATGACTGTTGGCAAACTACCATTGATCCTAGATCTCTTCACCTCTTACTCTATTCCATTTGCTGGCCCTGAAGGCAATTACTTTCTTAGGAAGATCCTGCATATCTGGCCACCTTCTCCACTGCTGGCTGCTCTTTCCCTTATTTCTTCTAAATGGCCATTCCAAACCCTTCTTCCTCTTCCAGCTCAATCTCGGCATATTACCTTGTACTTTGTTAAGAACACATAGGCCATTTGCCATTAGTTCCTCCTTCCATACTCAGTCTCAGAACAACATCCACATTGCCACAATTTGCTTTTCTTCAAATGGCCCTTGTCTTTATCATTCAACTCTTCTGTTTGGCCACTTAATCCCCTCCCCATCTCATTTCTTCTAGGATCTTGTCCTTTTAATTTATTTATTTTTAGTTTTCAACATTCGCTTCCTCAAGATTTTGAGTTCCAAATTTTCTCCCCATATTATCCCTCCCCCCACCCCAAGATGGCATGCATTCTGTATACCCCTTCTTCTAATCTGCCCTCCTTTCTATCTCTCCCCACCTTCTCTTATCCCCTACCCCTTCTATTTTCCTGTAGGGCAGGATACATGTCAATATCCCATTTCCTGTATTTCTTATTTCCCAGTTGCATGTGAAAACAATTTTTTTTACACATGTGTTTTTAAAACTTTGGGTTACAAATTTTCTCCCTTCCTCCCTCCCCACCCACTCTCATTGAAAAGGCAAGCAACTCAATACAGGTTATAGATGTATAGTCATGCAAAACACTTCCATAGTAGTCCTGTTGTGAAAAACTAAGTATATTTCCCTTCATCCTATCTCACCCCCCATTTATTCTATTCTCTCTTTTGACCCTGTCCCTCCTCAGAAGTGTTTGCTTCTGATTATCCCCTCCCCCAATCTGCCCTCCCCTCTATCATCCCCCTGCTCTCTTGTCCCCTTCCCCCCTTATTTTTCTGTAGAGAAAGATAGTAAAAACATGGTTAGATACCACAGAGTAGGTGGCAATGCCTTAACCGAATGTGTTGTAAAGGCCACTAGGACCTCCTCCATCCTTATCAAGGGGAGTGCTAATCTTCTCTCTTTTCATACAACACAGATCTTGACCTTTTATCATTCCCTTTCTTCTTAGGTGTTGAATGCTTTCTGGCTACCTGCCACTTTTCCCAGGTCTCCCTATACATAAAACTGACTTGGCCCTACCATTCCCTCAAATTATCATCCTATATGTCTTCTTCACTTTATAGTCAAACTCCTAGAATAATTTACATTTGTTTCCTGTATTGCCTTATCTCCCATTCACTTTCCAGTGATTTAAAATCTGGCTTCTGACCCTCCCTCTCTACTGATACTACTTTATTTCCTCTTTGGGTTTTCATGATATTGCTCTTTCCTGGTTCTCTCCTCCTAAAGGTCTGAAAGTTTCTTTTTGCTGGATCATCATCCATCTCCCACGAAGTATAGGTCCCCCAAAGAATGTCCTAGGCTCTCTTTCCTTGTTTCCCTATAGTCAGTGACCTCCCAGGGTAGGTACAGGGAAGAAATCAGCATGTGAGAAGAGACTGAAGATGAGAGTTGAGAGAATGATCAAGGGGACAAACTGTCAGAGGAGAGAGATGATGGGATCAGGGGCACAGTTTACATAGATTCAAGTATCAACTCTACTTAAATGATGTCCTAATTTCTTTCCTGAGTTTTTTTAATTCTATATTGCTGACTGTCAGATGCCTGACTGGCATCTCAAATTCATTGTCCCCTTACCCTAAACTTCCCTGTTTCTTCTGAGGGCACCATCATTCTCCCAGTCAACTGGGTTTGCAACTTCAGAATCGTCCTTGATTCCTCATACCTGTTTACTACCCCTCCTCCCCATCTCCCTCCGCTATTCACTCAGTTGGCAGGACTTGCTATTCATTTCTCTTTGCCTTGTACCTAGTTTGTGTTCATCAGCTCTTGCCTAGACTATTGCAGTAGGCTCCTAACTGGTCTTTTTGTTTCCAGTTTCTCTTCTTTCTAATATATCCTTTACACAGCTACCAAAATTAATTTTGCTAAAATGAAAGTTTCAGTTGTGCCACTCTCTGCTCAAGGACTTCACTGGCTCCCATTTACCTCTAGGAGAAGCAAACTCTTAAGCCTGGCAATTAAAACCCTTCATAATCTGGCTTTATTTTACCATTCACTTATTTTACATGCCAGTCAAACTGACCTACTGTTATCTATACTATCTGTCTCCCCTCTTCATGACTCCACCTACAGTATCCCCCATGCCTAGAAATGTACTCCTGCCACAATTCGCTTCCTTCAAGTCTTAGCTCAGGGGTACCTCCTACATGAAGCCTTTCCTGATTCCCCATCTCCATCTAAGTTGTTGAGTGTTTTTCAATGGAAAGAATATTGGACTAGAGTAAGGAAGATCTGAGTTCAAATCTTGAATCAGACACTTATTTGCTGTGTGACCCTGGGCAGGTCACTTCAACTCTGTCAACCTCAATTTCCTCATCTTGTGAAATGAGAATAAATAATAGCACCTAAGTCATATAGTTGTCTGTTGTGAAGATCAATGAGATAATGTAAAAAAGCACTTTGTAAACATTAAAACAAATAAAAGTTAGCTATTATTCCTCCTGAAATTACCTTCTGTTTACTTAACCTGAGCACAGGTTGCTCTCTATACTCAGATCCAATGTAGTCCCTTGAAGGCAGATTTAATTTTGTTTTTGCCTTTTTATCCCTACCACCTCTTACACAATGCCTTTCATATAGGAGCAGCTTAATAAATATGTTGAATAAAACTGCCATGGAGGAGATCATATCCTAGAACAGAGGTTCTTAACCTGGGGCCTGTGAATTTTTTTTTTCTTTTTTTTTTTTGTTTTCAATTACAAATTCTCTTGCCCCTCCCCCACCCACTGAGAAGGCAAAAAAAAAAGGAATACAAAATACATGTGAAATCATGAAAAACGTATTTCTTCATTAGCCTTGTGGGAAAAAAAAACAAGAAAAATAAAGAGAAAAATATGTGCTTCAATCTGCACTCAGAACTCATCAGTTTTCTCCCTAGAGGTGACAACATTTTTCATTATGAGTCCTTTGGAATTGTTGTAGATCCATGTATTTGATCAGAGTTGCTAAATTTTTCACAGCTGACTATCTTTACAATGGCTATTACTGTGTACATTGTTCTCCTGGTTCTTCTCATTCTACTTTGCATCAGTTCATATAAGTCGGTTTTTCTGAAACCATCACCAATATCATTTATTACAGCACTATAGTATTCTGTCACAATCACAATTGTTTAGCTGTTCCCCAATTGATAGCCACCCCCTCAGTTTCTAAGTCTTTGTCACCACAAAAAAGAGCTGCTATCAATATTTTGGTATATGTTGGTCTTTCTTCTTTTATCCTTTTGGGGTATTGACCTAGTAGCAGTATTGATGAGTCAAAAAGGGTATGTGCAGTTTTATGACCATTTAGGTATAGTTCCAAATTGTTCTCCAGAATGGCTGGGCTACCAGTACAGCTCCACCAACAGTGCATTAGTGTAGATTTTCCCACATCCCGGCCAGCATTTGTCATTTTCCTTTTCTGTCATCTTAGCCAATTTGACAGCTATGATGTGGTACCTCAGAGTTGTTTTAATTTATATTTCCCTCAGAGTTGTTTTAATTTACATTTCTGTGATTCAGAATATTTTATGAGACTATTGATAGCCTTGATTTCTTCTAAGAACTGCCTGTTCATATCCTTTGACCATTTATCAATTGGAGAATGGCCTTTATTTTTATAAATCTGGCTCAATTCTATATATATATGTACATACACAGACATATATGAAATAAGATCTTTATCAGAGAAACTTGCTATAAACCCCTCCCCCAACATTTTTTGCTTTCCTTCTAATTTTGACTGTCCTGATTTTGTTTGGTACAAAATCTTTTTAATTTTATGTAAATAAATTATCCATTTTACCTCCTGTGTTCCTCTCTATCTTTTATTTGGGCATGAACTCTTCCCCTATCTAAAGATGTGACAGGTAATGTTTTCTGGGCTTCCATAATTTGCTTATAATATCAACCTATATATCTAATTCATAAATCCATCTTGAGCTTATCTTGGTATATAGTGTGAGATGTTGGTCTATTCCTAGTTTTTGCCAGAGTACTTTCTAGTTTTCCTAGCAGTTTTTGTCAAATAATGACTTCTTGCCCCAATAACTGGAATCTTTGGGTTTATCAAACACTAGGTTACTGTGTTCATTTGCTTCAGTATGTTGTATACTTAACATGTTCTATTGATCACTGTATTTCTTATCCAGGACCAAAGTGTTTTGATGATTACCACTTAGTAGAATAGTTTGAGATCTGGTACTGTTAGCCTTTCAAATTGTGGTGCTAGAGAAGACTTTTGAGGGTCCTTTAGATATCAAGGAGATTGAATCAGTCAATACTTAAAGATATTAATTCAAGCTGTTTGCTGGAAGGTCAAATACTGAAGCTGAAGCTTAAATACTTTGGCCACACAATGAGAAGGCAGGACTCACTGGAAAAGACTCTGATATTGGAAAAGATTGAAGACAAAAAAGGGAGGGCAGAGGATAAGATTGGATAGATAGTCTCATGGAAACAATGAATGTGAACTTGGACAGACTTCAAGAGATAGTGGAGGATAGAAGGGCCTGGTGTGCTGTGGTCCATGGGGTCACTAAAAGTCAGACATGACTTAACTGTTAGGCAACATTGTTAGGCAGTCTTCCTTAATATTTTTTTTTCATTAATTCCCTTGATCTGATATACTTAATCTTTTCTTCCTCCAGATGAACTTTGTTGTTATTTTTTCTAGCTCTGTAAAGTAATTTTTTGGTAGTTTGATGGCACTGAATAAGTAAATTAATTTAGGTAGTATTGTCATTTTTATTATATTAGCTCAGCCTATGCATAAGCAATTAATATTTCTCCAATTATTTAGACCTATCTTTGTTTAAAAAGTGTTTTGTAAATTGTGTTCATATAATTACTGCGTGTGTCTAGGGAGACTCCCAAATATTTTATATTGTCTGCAGTTATTTTAAATAGAATTTCCCTATCTCTTCCTGTTGGGTTTTGTTGTTGTTTTTTTTTTTTTAATTGATAACTGTATTTTGATATCATTGATTTTTTTTATAATCCTATCTATTTTATTTTATGCATTTAAAAGCATTATTCTGAAAGGGGGTCCATAGGTTTCATCAGACTAATAATAGGTCCATGTTACAAAAGAGATTAAGAACTCCTGTTCCAGGGGCAGCTAGGTGGTGCAGTGGACAGAGAACTGGCCCTAGAGTCAGGAGGACCTGAGTTCAAATTTGGCCTTGGACACTTGACATTTACTAGCTGTGTGAACCTGGGCAAGTTACTTAACCCCACTGCCTAGCCAAAAAAAATAAAAGAATTTTTGTTCCAGAGGAATGGCAGCATATACAGAAATATCTGCTCTACTCTTCTCTCATTAGTAACAATCAGTCACCTATTTCCATCTTTGTATGAGAAGCCTGGGGGTTGAGGCCATTCAGTCTGAGGAAATGAGTCTAATACCAATACTCTGCCTTCATGGGGAAAAAAAAAAAGGTTGGTATGCCTGTGACTGGTTGTAAGACAGCTAATCTTTTCATCAGAAATGATAATGAGGGAAACAGAATTTTCAGGCAACAAAATTTTCCTTCCTTGACTTAACAGTTCTAAAAATTAGATATTCTATAATCAGCTCTTTATTATGATACTTGATACCAGAATACCACATTAGAAAGTAACCTAATTGTTTGATTCTTTATACTTTTATCCCCAGAACCTAGTACTTAGGTGCTTAATAATATTTACTGAATAATCACTACTCTTCTTGTCCAAGTTCCCCTCTATTAAAATGCCACATCTAAAGAAAGTACTTACAAGTAGTTGGCTAGGTTGTGCTCTTGTAATGTATGTGTTTCAAAACCATGAGGAGTTGTATCAAAGTAGTCATTGCCAATCCCACAGATGAAACATTTAGTCTAGGAAAAAAGTAAGAGGATATAAAAATATTAACAATGCTGGCCCTACTTATAAGTGGTTATTACACAAAAAATTTAAAGGAGGCCCTAAAAATATCTTACAAATGTTTACTATTAGAGGTTTATTACATTGGGTTTACTAAACTGCTCTTAAAATGTAAATATATATATATATGTGTATATATATGTATATGTATGTATATATGTATATATATGTGTGTGTGTATATATACACACATATATATACACACACACACACACATATATATAGACATATTATATATGTATGTATATACAACCTCCTGGAGAATTTTATCGCAGTTGGGAGGAAAAGGTGCTGTGGAGCACCAGGAAGCTATCAAGGTAGGAAAACCTGGGTGGGACACTGCAGGCATCCAGAAAGTAACAAGAAAACTTAAGAGTCAGGTCTTTATCTCTTTATTCCTGTGTTATTTTGGGCAAGTCACTTAACTTTTGTAGGTCTCAGTTTCCTCATCTGTAAAATGGGTTGGACTACATGACTTCTAAAGTTCCTCCCTGCTCTAAATGATCCTATGAGGGCACTGGAGGATAGCAGGAGGGGGCCATTTAAAAGGACACTAAAATAAGTTCTATCTAATTCATAATGGTGTATAGGGTTGACTCTGGATAGACAAAAAAGCAGACATAGTTCGACTTGAGGGAGATAACATAAGGAAGTGGGAAGTTTATAAGCCTTGAAGTCAGAGACCAGGCTTCTAGTCTTATCCTGCTCCTACCTCCCCCCACGTGACCTTGGGCTATTCATTTCAGCCTTGTGTGACTTAGCTTATTTTTGTGATCCTTGTCAGTTCTAAAGCTCTGTAGTCTGTACTCTAAAACTAAAACTAAAACACAGTAAAGCACACCTCCATGTCTTCTCTCACTTGTTCTTGCTGGTCTCTCAGTTCTCCAAAGGCGTCGATGATCAGACCTGGGATTTTAATTACAAAGAGAATTAAAGTTCCCCAGATGATGCACATGCATAAAGTTATACCAGAGCAGGGGAAATGGTAAAGTTCTATTTCTTTTTCATCTAAGGTCTCTCAGGATTACTACTATAGATGAATAAGCATGAAAATAAAAAAAAAAAACCTGTCCATGTTTTAAAAAACAAAAACCTTGTTGCTTTATAGATGAATCCTGGATATGATTCTCATTCACTTGTACTTATCATGCAATATGAATCTATATATAGAAAACTCTCTTCCTATTCAGCAGCTACTTGGAAATACTGTCATACAAATCAGGCCAGAGGCAAGGGATGATGGGAGTTCCATACTAGAGCAGAAAAAAGAGGGTGTAAAGCCTAAATTCACTACTTTTTTTTTAATTTTATTTTTTATTATTAATTTATTTTGAATTTTCAACCATCACTTACATAAGCTTTTAAGTTTTAAATTTTTCTCCCCCTCCCTCCCCAAGACAGTGTACAATCTGATATAGGCTATGCATATACATTCCTATTAAACATATTTTCACATTAGTGATGTTGTAAGTAAGAATTAGAACCGATAGGAGGAACCACCAGAAAGAGGAAACAAAACACAACAGAAGAAAAAAAATAGCAAATAGTATGCTTTGATCCGCATTCAAACTCCATAGTTCTTTCTTCTTTGTGGATAGCATTTTCCATCATGAGGCTTTTGGAGATGTCTTAGATCCTTATACTACTGAGAAGGATTAACTCTATCAATATTAGTCATCGCACAACATGGCTGTTACTATGTACAGTGTTCTCCTGGTTTTGCTCACTTCACTCAGCATCAGTTCATACAAGTCTCCCAGGTTTTTCTGAAGTCAGCTTGTTCATCATTTCTTATAGCACAATAGTATTCCATTACATTCATATACCACAACTTGTTCAGCCATTTCCCAATCGATGGGCATGCTCTCAATTTCCAATTCTTTGCCACCACAAAAAAGAGCTGCTATAAATATTTTTGTACATGTGGGTCCTTTTCCCATTTGCATGATCTCTCTGGAATACAGCCCTAGAAGTGCTATTGCTGGGTCAAAGGGTATGCACATTTTTATAGCCCTTTGGGCACAGTTCCAAAATGGTTGGATCATTTCACAACTCCACCAACAATGCAATAGTGTTCCAATTTTCCCACATCTTCTCCAACATTTATCATTTTCCTGTTTTGTCATGTTGGCCAATCTGATAGGTGTGATGTGGTACCTCAGAGTTGTTTTGATTTGCATTTCTCTAATCAATAGTGATTTTGAGCATTTTTTCATATGACTATAGATGGCTTTAATTTCTTCATCTGAGAACTGCCTGTTCATATCCTTTGAGCATTTATCAATTGGGGAATGACTTGTATTCTTATAGATTTGACTTAATTCTATATATATATTTTAGAAATGAGGCCCTTATCAGAGAGACTGGTTGTAAAAATTCTTTCCCGGTTTTCTACTTTCCTTCTAATCTTGGCTACATTGGCTTTGTTTGTGCAAAAACTTTTCAATTTAATGTAATCAGAGTTAGTCATTTTGCTTTTTGTAATGTTGTCTATCTCCTGTTTGGTCATGACTTCTTCTGTTCTCCATAAATCTGATAGATAAACTATTCCTTGCTCTCCCAGTTTGCTTACAGTATCAGCCTTTGTATTTAAATCATGAACCCATTTTGACTTTATTTTGGTATATGGTGTGAGATTTTGATCTATGCCTAGTTTCTGCCATACTCTTCTCCAGTTTTCCCAGCAGTTTTTGTCAAAGAGTGAGTTCTTATCCCAGAAGCTGGGGTCTTTGGGTTTATCAAATAGTAGATTACTGTGGTCATTGATTACTGTGTCTTGTATACTTAACCTATTCTACTGATCCACCAGTCTATTTCTTAGCCAGTACTAAGCAGTTTTGAATTCATCACTATTAATGTCTTGACAAAGAACTTGACTCTTTTTCACTTTTCTTGGCCTCAGCTGCCTCATTGGTTAAGTTGGAATAATCAATAACTACCAGCATTGAGGGCATAGTAGGGATGTTTATAAATGGCCAGTCAATGACACTGAGCATCTGTGTCTCAGGAATCTATGAATAAACCTTAAATAATTTAGCAGCAAATTATAATACATTCGCAAACTAAGTTCTAATAATTTAGACCATATCTTTAGATGTATATAAAGAATGAGTTTCATTAGACTCTTTCCATGTTCAAAATTATTGGCAATTATACCTTGAATGATGGCCAGTAGAATAACAATAACAAAGAAGAAGAATGTGATATCAAAGACAATTCGATACATTTCATAAGGATCACCAGCAGGGTCTTCAATTTCATCTCCAATGCCTCCCCCAGCTCTTACTCCAACATACATATGGAACAGGTAACACTAAAAAAGGAAGAGAGTTTGACAGTGTAAGCTATGGCAAAAAAAAAGAGTATTTTAAAAAATCAAAATAGGTGATATGCATGATTAGACTAGAAGATGGCAATATTAATGATAAGTTTTCAGATAAAATTCATTATTTAAGATTTACGCAAACTACTGAAGAAAGTCAGTGAAAGGATTTGACTTTTATGTATGACTTAATTAAGGGGTGAGTAACTTAGGCTGTGTGCCAGTGATGATATTTATTGGTGCGAAGGTTGGCTACTGCTATTTCCTCTACCCAACCACTATTCATCAGAACTTCTTCCAGCTGTGCCACTGAAAGAGCTGGCTGCTGTAGGGCCGAAATTCCTTCCTCATACCCTAAAGTAATCAGATCTCAGCACACTATCCACTTTTCAAAGTTTGCCAATTACTAGCATACATGGAGATTTTGGTAAGAAAATTACTATCCCCCAACCCTCATATCCGGCAATGTTTAATATGCATATGGCATTGTCTTTATGTACAAGGTAGGTAGGTTAAAATCCCTCTAGTACTAACAACTTAGTAGCATCTAGATGAGATGGTGTCAATTCCTGTTTTATCAAAGTAATTCTGTTTAGAAATTAAAACTTTCTGCATGGTTAAAATCCAGAACAATGTCTCAGATTTTTAAAGTATGTGGCATTCCTTAAGAGGAATTCGCCACTGGAACTGGGCATTTGGTTTCTGAAGCATGGATGCCTGTCATCTTCATGCTGAAAAAATTGATAAAACTTTTGTAGTCATTATTACTGTCTTGGTATCTACTTAATAGTCCTAGACTGGTAATGCTGTTTTTTTTTTCTTCTTCAGTGGTTTTTAAAAGAAAAGGAAACTAGAAAAGTTCAATTAAAAAAAAAAAGTGTATGCTGTGCTCAGGATGCCCTTGACAGGTAAGTTTTAGGCCAGAACTCAGTGGATGCCCTGAAAGTGCCACTCAGGTGATACATGGGGTGAATGCTTGAGAATATATTCTTTGATGTTCTTGCCAATATAACTCTAGTGATTCACTGCCATTGGCTAGGTATGTAGTGTTGAAGTCTAGTCAGGGTTTTACATATTGTTTTCAGAAGCAGATCAAGTGTCACTTTTAGTGGTACAACAGTTTTATTTTGCTATCTGCCACCTAAGACACTATCTGGTCTTGTAGAGTCTATTCAGAGGTTTAAAAAAATTTTCAATGAAAGAATATTGTCTGAAAAGATTTTTATTAATTGAATTATCCGTGTAGGGGTGCACAGTAATCCCATGTTTCATTTTGAGATCTCAGACAATCAGAAAAAAAAATTTCATGGTGTGACAGTCTCATTGAGTCCGTAGTTTGAATTAGGCCTTTTAAAAACAACCCTCTTGCTGACTGTAATCTTCCTATTCTGTCAGCAAGGTTGTGGTGCTCTTCCCCCCCCCCCCCCCCCCCCCCGAAGAAAACAACTCCCTCTGCTTAAAGAGTAGCCTTGGGTTGAGAGATGACAGTGAAGCTCATGGAATGAAGACTCGTCTGTGGCTCCATATTTACTTTTCTAACAAACAGCTGGCATTATAGGAGTTAGAACCTAGAATGTTGAGTGCTGCAGGAAAGGACCTTTCATCTGGTCCACAGTTTCATTTGACAGATGGGAAAACCTGAGGCCCAGAAAGGTCATGCAATCTGTCCAAGAATAACATAGTAGTGAACATAGAGCTAAGACCAAGAAGTCCTACTGCTATTCCACAGAAATGTTAATTTTCAGATATTAGTGAAAATAAAGATGTGATTTTTTCCCATTAAAACTGATAGTTCCCTACCCCAATAAATATATTTAAGAACCTCCTGGGAGCCCATGGACTGTAGCTTAAGAACCCCAAGAACTAGACCAAGCTTTTGCTTTGTGAGACTACTTTCCCCTGGGAAAGTAAGTCTCTTCAGTCACTGTTTCACTTAGGATGTATACCCATCATATAGACAGGATATACTGGAGAGGCCAGCATTATTACTTACATCAGTTTCCCATAATGGGTACATCTTTCTTCCTTGCACTTGACTTGAGGATTCCAATGATCTACTACCTCCCTGCCTCAACCATGGTTTGCCTTTTTACTTTTACTTCCACTTCCTATGTGGAATATACCCTGAAATCATCCAAGCCCTTTGTGAACTTTGCTTTTGTCATTCAAAAGACATATGAAATTTCTTTAGATTATCTCAGTAAGCAAAAAATGCTATGTCAAAAGGCTATGCCCCCAGCACTTGGAGACCTAGGACTAAAGATTGACCACATGGACTTATTGGTTAAAATGCTCCATTTCCGAAGTTGCTTTATTTTTATAGATAAATTTGGACCCATGACTCATCAATCTGTGATGAGCTTCTTAGTCTCAGTAAGAATTTGATTAGTGGTCAAAGAAAGTTATAAAATTTATGTTACCTAAACTTATTAAGTCCTTTAGAAAGACTTATGTGTAACTCCCATCTCCCCCAGTTGACTTCTCCAAGACAACCATCCACAGACCCTTATCTCCCAGGGAGACAGTGTAACAAGGCAGAACCTAAGACAGTTCTGTTACCGTCATCATGTCATCACATTTCATATCTGGCTCATCTTCATCTTCACTCTTATTGTAGAACTTTCGGAAGAAGTTGAAAGCCACCACAGTGTAGAGATAAACAACAACAGCCAGGAGTCCCACAGTCAGTACCAGCTGGGAATGGGAGGAAAAAAGAGGAAAAGAAACTAGAATCTTTTTTGTTGTAATGGTTTTTCTTATATCTTCTCTAACTTATTCAGACAGAGTTCAAAGACAAATAATTGTTTCTGTCCTTGAAAGAGAGGGCAAGGAAGGACCAAAAAGAGGAAGAAGAGATAAAAATATATAGTAATGGTTTGGGTGTTTGGTTCTAAGGAGAGTCAGAGAGTTTGGAGGGGCAGGAAAAAGAGGAAAGACCCCAAAATGGGACAATAAAGTAGAGAGGCAGATGAGGAAAAAGAATCAGTAGGAATGCACATAGTAGGTACTAAATGTTTACTGAATAAACAAAATTGAAAACTTTTCTGCAAAACTTAGGAATTTTCATGGAGTATTCAAAGTTCTTTGAGTCAGTTACTGAACCTCACCCTGTGGAGAGTGAGACGATTTCACAGATCATTAGAACTGGAAGGAATTGCAGAGGTCATCAGGTTAATCAATCCCACCACCCTCATTTTACAAATGAACTGTCTGAGGACCTAAAAGATGATATAAATTGCCCAAGGTCACAGAGGCCATGAGTGACAAAACTGACTTGAACCCTTCTATTCTGACTTAGAAGCAATTGGTGGTGTGTTCGAGCATCAGACAAGGAGTCAGGAAGACTTGAGTTCAAATCCTGTTTTAGAGACTTTATAGTTGTGTGACCCTGGGAAAAATCACTTGACCTCTACCTCGGTTTCCTCATTTGTAAAAAGAGGATAATAATAGCAAGTACCTCCCATGGCTAGGGCAGCTAGATGGTGTAATGGATAGAGTGCTAGGCCTGAAAGCAAGACTCCTCTTCCTGAGTTCAAATCTGGCTGTGTGACCGTGGGCAAGTCACTTAACCCTGTTTGCCTCAGTTTCCTCATCTGTAAAATAAGTTGGAGAAGGAAATGGCAAACCACTCCATTATCTTTGCCAATTAAACCCCAAATGGGGTCACAAAGAGTTGGACATGACTGAAACAACTGAACAACAACAAAACCTCCCATAGCTGTTGTGAGGAAAGAATGAGGTAATATTTGCAAAGAATTTTGCAACTCTTCAAGTGCTATATTCTATTTCTCTATTATTATTATTATTCTACTGCATCATGCTGTTTTCTTATATTCCATATCTGTTTCACCCTAAACAAATGGAAAGTCTGCTCAGCCTTAGTGTGGTCCTGCCTCACTCTCTTCATCCCTTCCAGGGCATATGGAACAATAAATTCTCCAAATTGGCCTTTTTTAGATTTCAAAAATAAAAGTTAACCTTGGGGTTATGGGGAAATAACCAATCATTTCAAAGCTGTTGAGGAGCTTTATTAGTAGAAAGTAGATATAGTGTGAAATCAAATACCTTAAGAATGTTATATGAAGGCAGGGAAAAGGGGGGGGGGGCAGCTAAGTGGTGCAGTGGTTAGAACACCGGCCCTGGAGTCACGAGGACCTGGTTCAAATCTGACCTCACACACTTACTAGCTGTGTGATCCTGAGCAAGTCATTTAACCCCAAGTGCTTCCAAAAAAAAAAAAAAGTTATACAATAAAGTCCTGCTCTGAATGATCATAATAGCTGACATTTATAAATAGTGTTTTCTGGTTACTTACACTTTGCACAAATTATTTCATGTTTTCTTTGAGTGATACAACTGTTTTGTTAGATTGCTTATTACATTATCCCATCACATATTCCTCTCATTTGAAGATGGCATATTTTCTTTGCATTCCTCCCTCAGGTCCTTCACTTTTCTTTCTGTTCCACATCATTATAAACCTAATTCCTTAGTAGTTCATACCTGTTTGCCATTGTGAGTTACAGAAGATAAAATTGTCCTCAGTGTCTTGAAACCCATTGCAATGTCCAGTAAGTGAGCAGCAAAGAAGAAGTTGTTGTAGTGACCAAGGATAGACATGGTTGTGTACCAGGCCAGGTATAAGAAGGACTGTGAAAAGTGTCCAATTGAAGAAAAGTTAAGCAGTACCTCAAACCCTGTAATAATTTTTCCATGTCCTGTAATAACCTACTGGACAAAGATATTTGAATATTATCACATCTAAACTTTGGAGAGGTGATGGCACTTGTCTCATCATTAAGCTAAAGAACTGCATGGGCATGGATTTTGAGGTTGTCATTAGGTTTGGGGGTTCTCTGTATGAGATACAATAAAGAATGCTAGATAAGGTGAATTTGGGGGGATTAACTCTGCCTTGCCCTATTCTACAAATAGAGGGGGGAGCATCCTTGGGTGATTTTTGGGTCCACATCCTCTCACAAGAAATTCATCTGATCTTTCCAAGCACCCTTTATTCCACTATTTGGATGCCCATTACCCCAAAGGGCTTTTTGAGCTTCTGACTTGGGCTTTTTAAAAGGATGATTCCTATATATGTACCCATTGGAGTAATGAGTAGAATCTTATTTTTCTTTAAGCAATTAAAACTTACATTGTCAGTAAAAACAACTCCCAGCTTCCAGATATGGTACTTCATATCGATGGAGCTCAGCCTAAAAAGGACCAAATAATTTCAAACTCATAAATGTCAAGAGTTAGTTAAGTGTTTAATGAGGAAATTAACCTCTTTCTCCCATGTTTAATAACTGAAACACAGCTCAGAGCTTTATCATATTGTATATTTTCCTCTGGAGATGCTGAATGGTTCAGTTAGAAATCTTGTACTATGAATTGGACTTTCAAAAATTATAATTCCTAAATATAAAGAACCTGAAATCTTTAACTTTTTCAAAGTTGTTTTTATCTTGGATCCCCTCCCCTCCCCACCTTTATATACCTTACACATATAATTAACCAAAGCCTAGATGGGACACCTCAAATTAGGAAGGGGAGTGAAAGGGCACATGAAATAGATGGGTATTAAATTAGTTGTTAACCATTTTTCCCATTGGCTATCCTATGAGTGAAAATAATTAATGGCCACACACTAAAGAAAACACCATTCAACTTTGTTGGATTGGGAGAAAAAATGGTTCAGCTTTAACCAAACTCCTTTAGTTACAGATGTTCATCTAAGTACCATGACACAAGAGAAGCCTCCTCTGGTTCTGCCTGTTCAACTGGGCTAAAGTCAAGGGCATTTTTATCCAAACCCAGAAGTTCAGCAATACGTTCTGCTCCATAGAGGTCACCATACTTGTTGATCACCTGAAAAAGAAAGGAAGACAAAATAAGTCTGACAGTCACACATACCATCCATTTTCTGCTTTAAAATGAGGCAGAGGCACTGGATGATTGTGTTCCAATAACTCTTGGGATTTTATAAAGCATGGATGAATTTTCTATGGAGTCAGGAAAGGACTCAAAATGAAAAGGGATGAAGAGAAAAAGAAACATGATGGAAAATCAAGCTTCCATAATCATTAGATAAAAAAATGCCACTATTCAAGCTGGTATTTTCCCTTTTTTGGAGGGAGAGGTTGTTTTGTAAAAGATGACAATAACTATAAATGAAAATCTCACAATTAAGTGTAGGCACCAAGCTCTTCAGAATGCAGGTATCTAGGAATAAAGCCATCATTTTGCACATGCAGACACATGAACACAGTTCCTTTCATGGATTACTTTTCTTGGGAGTAATGAGGTCATACCAAGTTCTACTAGGTTAAAAAAATATCATCTTAGATTTCCATTGTGGCAAGAGAATCCATCCCTACCAATAGAGCATACCTTTCTCTTTACAAACTTGTCCCAGTAGTTGTTAGGAAAAGACCTGTAGCAGAGAGAGAGAGGGAGAAGTTCTCAACATCAGGGAAACCATATAGATTGATGAAATGATATTTTTTTTTTTTGGGTAGGCAATGGGGTTAAGGGACTTGTCTAGGGTCACATAGCTAGCAAGTGTCATATGTCTGAGGCCGGATTTGAACTCAGGTCCTCCTGAATCGAGGGCTGGTACTCTATTCACTGTGCCACCTAGCTGCCCCTGATGAAATGATCTTAATGACCTTTCAGGGGTCTTGATCTTGATTTTTCAATTCTGGAACCTTCTGCCTTGGAGAACAGAGGTTTGGTTTGTGAATGTTGCATGTTTTGACTGACTTTTTAGTGCTCAGCACTGGTCTGTTCATTGCTGCTCTGGTAACTCTAAACTGGCTGCTGGGTTGTTTTCCTCCATTAACTCTATGGTTAAGAATAAGTTTGCAATAGACTTGGGATAAGAATAGGTGTATGCTAGACATTTCATTCCAGTAGCAAAAGCCCTGAGAGAAGTCTAGAGGATCCCCTTGAGGTACTGCAATCTGCTGGCATGCACAGGACACTTCAGGGGGTGTCCTAGACTTGAAGTCTGAAAAAGCTAGGTTCCAATCGCAGTTCTGACAAACTGCACGATCTTGAGCAAAAAGACTTTACTTCTCTAAGGCCCAGTTTCTTCATCTGTCACACGGGGGTGATAATACTTACAGAACCAAACTCACAAGGGTATAGTGAGGAGAGTGCTTTGTAAACCTCACAGCACAGTGTCAAGGTGAGCTCTTGTTATCTCTCTCCCCAACATAACTCATGTGCGCTCTGTTGGATGAATGGAATTGGAACCCCATCTTTAGGTGGCACTTCTTGGAGATGCTGATGCTATTTTGTCCCTCCCATGGGAAAGAAGATGCTAGCCCTAACCGCATTGAAGAATGACTTTTTTTTTTCCTTTCAGCTCACAGAGCTACTATTTCTTTCTTTTTTTTAAGTTATTTTTTATTTTGTTAGTTCCCATTTACATGTAAGAATTTTTTTAACAATCATTTTTTAAAATTTTGAGTTCCAAAGTTTCTCCCTCCCTCCCGTCCATACCCCGTCCTTGAGAAGACAAGCAATTTGATATAGGCTATACGTGTGAAGTCATGCAAAACATATTTCTATATTAGCCATGTTGCAAAACACAAAATAAAAAGATAAAAATAAAGAAAGTTTAAAAAAAGTATGCTTCAGACAGCATTCAGAGTTAGTTTTCTGTCTGGTGGATAGCATTGTTCATCATGGGTCCTTTGGAATTGTCTTGGATAAGAGTAGCTAAGTCTTTCACAGTCAATCATCCTTAAAATATTGCTATTACTGTTTACAGTGTTCTCCTGGTTCTGCTCACTTCTCTTGGCATGAGTTCATATAAGTCTTTCCAGGTTTTTCTTTCGGGGATCTTGATGATCCTCCATGATTTCTTATGGCACAATAGTATCCCATCACAATCATATGCCAAAACTTGTTCCGCCATTCTCCAGTTGATGAGCAACCCCTCAATTTCCAATTCTTTGACACCACAAAAAGAGCTGCTATAAATATTTTTGTACATGTGGGTCATTTACCCCTTTCTTGGATCTCCTTGGGATACAGACCCCGTAGTGGTATTGCTGGGTCATAGTTTTGTAGTCCTTTGGGCATAGTTCCAAGTTGTTCTCCAGAATGGTTGGATTAGTTCACAACTCTACCAACAGTACAGCATTAGTGTCCTGATTTTTCCACATTCCCTCCAGCACATATAATTTTCTCATGTTAGTCCATCTGATAGGTGTGAGGTGGTTATCTCAGTTGTTTTAATTTGCAGTTCTCCAATCAATAGTGATTTAGAGCAGTTTTTTTCTTGTGACTATTAAGGCTTTGATCTCATCTTCTGAAAACTGCCTGTTCAAATCTTTTGACCATTTATCAACTGGCAAAAGGCTCTGTTTTTAAAAATAAATTTGGCTCTGTTTCTTGTATATTTGAGAAATAAGATCTTCATCAGAGAAACTTACTGTAAAATTTTTTCCTTCAGTTTCCTGTTTTCCTTCTAACTTTGGCTGCATTAGTTTTGTTTGTGTAAAAGCTTTTTAATTTCACATAATCAAAATTATCTCTTTTACTTCCTATAATACTTTCTGTCTCTTATTTGGTCATAAACACTTCCCCTATGCATAGCACTGACAGATAACATTTTTCCATATTTTACCTAACTTATGATACCACTTTTTATGTCCAAATTATTTATCCATTTTGACCTTATTTTGGTATATGGTGTGAGATATTGGTCTATGCCTAGTTCCTGCCAAATTGCATTCCAGTTTTCCCAGCAATGTTTGTCAAATGTTGAGTTCTTACCCCCAAAACTTGGTTCTTTGGGTTTATCAAACACTAGATTACTAAGGTCATATTTATTGTGTACCTAATCTATTCCTCTGACCTATCAGTCTATTTCTTAGCCAATACCAGATTGATTGATTGCTTTGTAATACAGTTTAAGATCTGGTAGAGCTAGGCCAACTTCTTTAACATTTTTTTATCATTGAATCACTTGATATTCTTGACCTTTTGTTCTTCCAGATGTATTTTGTTATTATTTTTTTCTAGCACTATAAAATAATTCTTCAGTAGCTTGATTAGTATGACTCTGAATAAGTAAATTAACTTAGGTAAAATTGTCTTTTTTTTTTTAATATTGGCTTGGCCTATACATGAGCAATTAATATTTCTTCAGTTGTTTAGATCTGTCCTTATTTATGTGAAAATGTTTTGTAATTATGTTCATATAGTCCCTGGTTTTATCTTTGCAGGTAGACTCCTAGGTATTTTATATTATCTGCAGTTATTTTAAAATGGAATTTCTCTATCTCTTGTTGGGTTTATTGGTAGTATATAAAAATGCTGATGATTTATGTAGGTTTATTTTGTATCCTGCAATCTTGCTGAAGTTGTTAATTGTTTCAACTAGTTTTTTAGTTGATTCTCTAGGGTTTTCTAAGTATACCATCGTATCGTTGGCAGAGTGATAGTTTTGTTTTCTCATTGCATATTTTTATTCCTTCAATTTCTTTTTCTTGTGTTATTGCTATAGCTAGCATTTCTAGGACAATATATTGAATAATAGTGGTAATGATGAACATTCTTGCTTCACTCCTGATCTTACTGGGAAAGCTTCTGGTTTATCACCTTGCAGATAATGCTTGTTCTCAGTTTTAGATAGACCCTATTTAACATTTTTAAAAAGGCTCCAATGATTCCAGTGCTTTCCAGTGTTTTTATTAGGAATGGGTGTTATATTTTGTCAAAGACTTTTCTGCATCTATTGGTATAATCATGATATTTGTTGTTATTGATATGGTCATTTATGCTCATAGTTTTCCTAATATTGAATTGGCCCTGCATTCCTGGTATAAATCCCACCTGGTGGTAAGTGTATGATCTTTGTAATATATGGTTGTAATTTCCTTGCTAGCATTTTATTTAAAAATTTTGCAGTGATATTCACTAAGGAAATTGATCTATAGTTTTCTTTCTCTGTTTTTGCTCTCCCTGGTTTAGGTATCAAAAGCATGTTATAAAAGGAAGATCCTTTTTTACCTGTTTTTTTCAAATAAATTATATAGGATTGGGATTAATTGTTCCTAAAATGTTTAGTAAAATTCACTTGTAAATCCATCTCGTCCTGGGGACTTTTCCGTAGGGAGCTCATTGATGGCTTATTCAATTTCTTTTTCTAGGCTAGGGTTATTTCCTCTTCTGTTACTCTAGGCAGTTTATATTTTTGTAAATATTCATCCATTTCACTTAGATTATCAGTTTTACTGTCATATAACTGGGCAAAATAACTCCTAATAATTGTTTTAATTCCATCTCCATTTATGGTACATTCACCCTTTTCATTTTTTTTTTTTTTGGCTAGGCAATGGGGTTAAGTGACTTGCCCAGAGTCGCACAGCTAGTAAGTGTCAAGTGTCTGAGGCCAGATTTGAACGCAGGTTCTCCTGACTCCAGGCCCAGTGCTCTATCCACTGTGCCACCTAGCTGCCAATCCTTTTCATTTTTGATACTAGTAATTTGGTTTTCTTTTTTTGTTAAATCAAATCAATCACTGGTTGATCTATTTTATTGTTGTTTTTTTCTTTCATAAAACCAGTTCCTGGTTTTATTTATTAGTTCAATGGCTTTTTTTTTAAACTTTCAATTTTATTAATCTCTCTTCTGATTTTCAGAATTTCCATTTTGGTGTTTAATTGGAGATTTTTAATTTGTTCTTTTTCTGCTATTTTTAGTTAAATGCCCAATTTATTGATCTGCTCCTCTCATTTATTGATTTATGCATTAAGAGATATCAATTTCCCCCTAACTACTGCTTTGGCTACATTCCACAAATTTTGTGGAATGTTATCTTGTTGTTATTCTCTTTAATGAATTTGTTGATTTTCTCTATGACTTGTTCTTTGACCCACTCATTTTTTAGGATTAGATTATTTAGTTTCCAATGGACTTTTAACCCATGCTTCCAAGGTCCTTTATTGCATTATGATCTAAAATGGGTACATTTAGTATTTCTACTTTTCTGCATCTGGTTGCGAGGCTTTTATGCCCTACTAATTCAATTTTTCTGAAGGTGCCATGTACAGCTGAGAAAAAGGAATATTTCTTTCTATTCCAATTCAGTTTTCTCTAGAAGTCTAGCATACATATATAACTTTTCTATGATTCTATTAATTTCCTTGATTTCTGTCTTATTTTATGGTTAAATTTTTCTAGCTTTGAAAGGGAAAAATTGAGGTACCCCACTAATATAGTTCTACTGTCTACTTCCTAACTCATGTACAGATTTTTTTATTTTAAAAATTTTAAGAATTTAAATGCTATTAAATGATATTTGGTGCATGCATGTTTAGTATTGATATTACTTCATTGTCTATGGTACCTTTTTAGCAAAATGTAGTTTCCTTGCTATTATCTCTTTTAATTAGGTGCATTTTTGCTTTTGCTTTG